TTGCTGGTGATTGGCTTCTCTGGGCCTCTGTTGGTCTTTGAGGAGGCCTTCTTCTCGGTAAGAGCTTTCTGTCCCACTTTACTGCCCTTTCTGGGCATGGCTCCTGTCACCCCTAAAGGCTCCCCACCTTTCCTGCTCAGTTCTGCAGCAGCAACCAGTTGGAGTACCTGGTGGGCCGAGTGTGGATTGGCTTCTGGCTGGTATTCCTGGCTCTGCTCATGGTGGCTCTGGAGGGGAGTTTCCTGGTCCGCTTTGTCTCCCGATTCACCCAGGAGATCTTTGCCTTCCTCATATCCCTCATCTTCATCTATGAGACCTTCTACAAGCTGATTAAGGTGGGCATGTGTGGGGTACAGAGGAGCCTGGAGCGACCTGTCTTGTCATTAGAAAAATGTTTTAATTCATTTTTATGTATTCCTTGTATGTGCATGCATGTAGTTAGAGTGCCCACATGGAGGTTAGAGGACACCCAGGGAGCTGGTTCACTTCTTTCACCTTTCGATGAAGCTCAGACTGTCAGGCTTGGCTTTCTTCATTTTATCGTGTTTTTCTGTCTTGTATCTTGGTTCTTTCTTCTGGACTACAGGCCAGACTAATTCTGGCATCCCCTGGGAGTCTATTCATGATCACCAAGAGAGGGTTCGAGGAGCTTGGTAAGCAGGAAGGCCACTGGGAGTGTGGCAGAGTGAGATACAGTGCTGTAGTCTGAGTGCTCCCCACTCCACCCTTATCCTTTCCATCGCCTCTTGTCATCAGCACACATCAGACCAGTCTTTCAAAATCACATCTTTTTAATAGTAAGGATAACATGCACTTGCATTGGAATCCAGGAATGTAAAAATGAGGGCCCAGAGGTGACACACAGTCTGCACATCCAACACACAAGTCTCGGGAGTTACTATCCTTGAGCCTCTGTGTCCATGGCTCCTCCTCTTCCCTCAGCCCCTGGAGCCCAGCTTTGGCTCTGGCTCTCCCACTCCCAGTGACTCCCTGCCCCCTCTCCACCCCATGTGGCCTCATATTTAACTTGACTCTCCAGTCTCTTTCTCTTTGACTTCATTTTCAGTCTCAAATGCTTTATTATATATCATGCTTGCTCAGTGTGAACTGAACAGTTGGTTTGCAAAGTCTGAATATTCTTTAGAGTTATACCTGCAAATGACTATGAAAATATTTGGCATTTGTAAAAACCTGAAACCCTGAACAGGCACTTACATGACAGGAACGTTGCCACCCATAGATACTACATTTAAAAAGTTGCTCTAGAACATGACCATGCAACCTTTGGCTAGTGAAGAAGTGGGTTTCTGATCATTCCCTCAGAATGCCATAACAAGGGCTGAGGTTTTAACTCAAGAGTGAAGTGCTTACTTAGCACATTGCAAGGCCCTGTTTGGTCCTCAGCTCCAAAAATAAATAAAATTCATAAGCTAGAGTCTAAATGCCGTAATAGTAAAATGAGTTTAAAGAAATGTAATTTCGGTTATTCTTGGTGGTGGTGGTGGGGACTCAAAAGTTAACTGACAAAACCTATGCTGAGGCATATTAAGAAATATTGGGGTTGGGTACAATGGCATACACTTTTGATCCCAGCACTCTGGCTGCAGAGGCAGAGGCTGGTGGATCTCTGTGAGTTGGAGACCAGTCTGGTCTATATAGTGAGTTCCAGGCTAGCCAGGATTACATAGTGAGACAGTCTCAAAAAGGAAAACAGAAATATTGGTAGGGCCAACAAGATGACCCAATAGGTGAAGTTACCTGCCACTAAGCCTGATAACTTGAGTTTGATTCTTTGGACCTACCTAATGGTAGAAGAGAACTGAGTCCCTAAAGTCATACTGACCTGCACATGGGTGTTGTGAGTGGCATTCATGCCCACACATGTACATATACGCTCACACACACATACATAAATACACACATTAAATAAATGTAGTAAAGTTAAAGAAAAAAAGTAATATTGGGGCCAGGTGGCGGTGGCGCATGCCTTTAATCTCAGCACTGGGAGGCAAAGACAGGTAGATCTCTGAGTTTGAGGCCAGTCCCAGGGCAGCCAGGGCTACACAGAGAAACCCTGTCTCAAACAAACAAACAAACAAATGTAATATGGTGCAAAAACCAAAGAACTAAGTTAAGTAAAAGTTTCCATACACTTTGTATTTCTGTGGTCAGACCCTGTGCATGTGAATTTGTGACTAGCCTTTTTTTTTTTTTTTTTTTTTTTTTTTTTTTTGAGACACTGAATGATTTAGTGCTAACTTAAACTGTGTTAAGTTTTTTTAAATATGGAATATTGCAATGTTACATATCCTTGCACTGGGCCACTCTGATCTTCTCTGTACCTAGTGCTTGCTTCAGTAGCATAAGATACTAAAACTAATTTTCTTAACCTGGTAAGGTAAGCTTCTAGAAGGCAGGCTTGCCTTTGCCAAACTCCCACTCTAGCTCGCCAACATCCAGCTGGCCCCCAGTTCATCCCATGGTCCTCTGTGGTTTCTCCCCAGATCTTCCAGGAACATCCCCTCCATGGCTGCTCAGTCTCCAACGACTCAGAGGCAGACAGCAGCAGTGGCAATATGACTTGGGCAGCAACCCTGCTGGTGCCAGACAACAGCAGCACAATCCTGCAGTCTGGGCAGGAGAGGCTCCGGGGCCAGCCCAACACAGCATTGCTGTCACTGGTGCTGATGGCTGGCACCTTCTTCATCGCCTTCTTTCTACGCAAATTCAAGAACAGCCGGTTCTTCCCTGGCCGGGTATGTAGGCTTGAAGCCTAGAGTAGCTGAGGACACGAAGGGGATAACTTGGAAGTATGGGAGTGTTGTATTTGGATAGGAGGCCTCTGAGTATGGTGCTTGCCCTCTTAGATCCGGCGGGTAATTGGGGACTTTGGAGTGCCTATCGCAATCCTCATCATGGTGCTTGTGGATTATAGTATTGAGGACACCTATACCCAGGTAAGGCATTGCACAAGTGACAGAAAGGTGCTGCTGGCCCTGGGCTGTTTCCACCACTTTGGGTTCTGGCGTTCCACCTAGTCCCCTCTGTGTAACAACACAGTGCCTCTGCCTTGTAGAAGCTGAGTGTGCCCAGTGGATTCTCTGTGACAGCCCCAGACAAGCGGGGCTGGGTCATCAACCCCCTTGGAGAAAAGAGCCCCTTCCCTGTGTGGATGATGGTGGCCAGCCTGCTGCCTGCTGTCCTGGTGTTCATCCTCATCTTCATGGAGACACAGATCACCACGTGAGCCATTCTAGCTAAGGAGCCAGAGCCCCCTGCCAGCTCAGGATACAGGATCTGTCACCATGGGACAATGGCCTCAGGGGACCCTGAATGCCAGATTAGCCAGCTTCTTCTGCAGGCAACAGAAATGTCACTGATGTTAGCTGGGGTGGGACAGGGCACAGGCATTGAAAGCTAGCCTAGCAGGGCTTGCCAGGAAGAATCCTGCAAGATACAGGCTAAGGACACATGTTCAGGTCTATGATAGAGGCCCAGTCCCAGTGGTATAGACAGAGATCACCAGAACCAGTTGGGGCATGCTGGAATGATATGATCTCCCATGTTGTGGGTGCCCTAGGGTTCATAGTGCCTCTCCTCTCCCAGGCTGATCATCTCCAAGAAAGAGCGGATGCTGCAGAAAGGCTCTGGTTTCCACCTAGACCTGCTGCTCATTGTAGCCATGGGTGGCATCTGTGCCCTCTTTGGCCTTCCTTGGTTGGCTGCTGCCACTGTCCGCTCTGTCACTCATGCCAATGCACTCACTGTCATGAGCAAGGCTGTGGCACCTGGGGACAAACCCAAGATTCAAGAGGTCAAGGAACAGCGGGTGACAGGGCTGTTGGTGGCCCTGCTTGTGGGTATGCTGCCCTTACTCTGAACCTTACCTTCCCTGTAGATACCCAGGTTCATTGGAGGGAACCAACTGTTTCTCCTTTCCCAGGCCTCTCCATGGTCATTGGAGACCTACTGCGTCAGATTCCCCTGGCTGTGCTCTTTGGCATTTTCTTGTACATGGGAGTTACTTCCCTTAATGGAATCCAGTTCTATGAGCGGTTGCACCTGCTACTCATGCCGCCCAAACACCATCCAGATGTTACTTATGTCAAGAAAGTAAGTTCCTAGCCGGGTGATGTGCTGTAAGTCTTTAATCCCAGCACTCGGGAGGCAGAGACAGGACAGAAGGAGCTCTGTGATTTTGAGGTCAGCCTTGCCTATAGGGCAAGTTCCAGGGCAGGCTCCAAAGCTACACAAGAGAAACCCTGTCTTGGAAAACAAAAAACAAAAGAAATAAAGTTCCTGCACTGAAGGGGTACAGGACCCCACCTTGGCCAGACTATTTGCCTCCTCCCTGTATAGAGGGGCTCTAGAAATCCCCATAGTAGTTCATTTCCCAGGAGAGGAAGTAGGGCCTTGTCCTTCTGGCTGGCTGGGATGTATGTCTAGGCTCACCTCATCTCTGTCCCAGGTTCGGACCATGCGGATGCACCTGTTCACCGCCTTGCAATTGCTCTGCCTGGCCCTGCTCTGGGCAGTCATGTCCACAGCTGCCTCCCTGGCCTTCCCCTTCATCCTCATCCTCACAGTGCCACTGCGCATGGTGGTACTTACCCGCATCTTCACTGAGCGAGAAATGAAATGTGTAAGTACCCCTGCTCCTCTCTCCCTCCACTCCTGTCTTCTGTGATTCTATAAAGACCAACCCTTCCATTCCTCTCACAGCTGGATGCTAACGAGGCAGAGCCAGTGTTTGATGAACGTGAAGGTGTGGATGAGTACAATGAGATGCCCATGCCAGTGTAGCTGCTGTCCAGAGGCATAGCAGAGACTAATGGGTAGGGGACCGGGGATGGGGTATGGGGCTCCCCTCCTCCTGTCCCTCCTCATTTTTATTTAAGTGAATAATTTAAAGCCCCCTTCTCCCCACACTGCAGTAAAGTGCTTCAACCCCAACCTAGGCCTGCTCTCCTTTGTTGGTGGGGGTCATGAATGGAAAGAAATAGGGTCCAGCCCTCTTCCTTGTCCCAGAAATGAGACTCGCCTTGGGAAGGAAAGGGATTTTAATGAAAAAAAAAACAAAAAAACAAAAAAAAAACCAAAAAACCAGAGAGCGAAAGTGCAAATTGTCCCCCTGCCCCCAATAGGGGATTCATCCTGAGCCCTCTGTGTACTCCCTCACCCACCCTCAGGTCCCCAGCGGAGGCCTAAGGCCTGGAGTTTCTGCCTCAGGTAGCTCTTGAGCTGGGGCAGGCCTCTCTGAGACTCCAGTTCTTCAAATGGCAGCTGCAGAGAGAAGGTAGAAGGTTACAGTGGGTTGGCTCTAAGTACACATATGGGTGGTGTGGGACAGGACTTCTCACCGGCAGCAGTTGGTAGCCCATCAAGCCCAGGTGGCGCTCCCTCAGGGCCCTAGAGCCCAGCAACACCCTGCCGTCACGGCAGAAATGCCATCTTTCTCGTAGCATCAGCACCACCCTGAGGAGGAGTGCACTTGGCTCAGGTCGCTGTTGGCCCAGTAGCCAAGACTCCCCAGCCGTTTCATCTTTCTTACCTTTGGGTAGAATCTTGGGTCGTGGGCTTAGAGTCAGCATGGCCCTGTTGGCAGGACCGTGGAGGGTAGGGCAGGAAAGGGTCTTGTGTCCTCACAGGTAGCACAGCACCAGAGCTACCAACACAGAGCAGGAAGTCTGCAGGGCAGACAAGCCTTACTTAGCCTTGCTCCAGCTTTAGACTGTTGACCACTCACACCCATGAACACCTCACCTGTGCAATAGCCTGGAGGTACAGTCAGGTCCCTGCGGTATTTTTCTTCCCCTAGCAGCTGGCGCAGCCCCTCAGCTACTATGTCCTTGTGACTGAGGAGAAAGGACATTGGTAGAGGGAAGGCTGCTGTTCCTGCTGAGCACTGCCACCCTGCAAAGTCCCTTTGCTGCCTCAAGGCTATTTTCCGTTAGGAGACATGGGTTCTGGCTTTCCTACTTTGTGCTCCTGTGGCTGCCTTCCCCCTGGCCCACCTGTATTTGCAGCGGGCACGGTCAGTGATGAGGGGCTGTGGGAAGACAGGTACTCGCTGTCTTTGGGGAAGGCGAGGGCCTCGGTACCCCGGGAGTTCAAGCTCCACAGCCGTGTCGAGCAGAGAGAGGTAGCGTCGCACAATCAGAGAAGGAGGGGTGCCTGTGGGGAAGCAGGGACTGGGGGGCACTGGGCGGCTGACACCTGGGCATGCTCCTGCCCTGCAGCCCTCAGCCCCACTAGCCGTCCTGTCTGCATACCACTGATGTGGTTGATGAAACTGGGTGAGAAGACAAACTGCAGGGCTCTTAAGGGCAAGCACTGTAGCTGGCATAGTGACATCAAAATGTTGACTGTGGCCAAGGGTGCCACCCCTGCTTCCCGAGCCAGGATCCTCTCAAGACAGGGCAAAAACTGCTGCTCCTGGGGCAGGTAGTTCAACCTCCCAAAGGGCAGGACCAACTTCTGTACCACCTGCAGAAAAAGGCAGCATCATCCAGCAGGAAACACTGCTAAGGTATCTTTTGTTCTCTCAAGACAGGGTCTCTCAGGCTAACTTGAACTCCCTATGCAGACCAAGCTGACCTCAGACTCAGAGATCCACCTGCCTCTGCCAGGATTAAAGGCATATGTCACCATGGCAAGCTTGATAGACACAACCTCAAGGAGGCCTAGTTCTGTCATTAGCTTTTCAAGGCAGAATGTCCTCCATACCGGCACACACTTCAAGTTCTGCAACATAAGCAGGCTCTTGGCTACATGGCTCCACATCACAGAAGGGGCATAACTGGGGGTGGGTGGGGGATGGTATGGCCTGAAGGTCGGTAGAAGTGAATCCAATGGAGCTAGGTGACTATGCAGCAGCTTTGGAAAGTTTCAGGGTTCCAGACAGACAGACATCCAGGGACACCGAACAAAGCTGAGCTGCAATGCTTGCTATAGGAGAAACCAAACTAACTACATAGGGGCCTGGACCTGACTAAGGCACTGAAGATGACTCAGGGAAATGAGAGGGTGGGAGGCCAGCCCACCTTGCTGTTGAGCTGGGCTTCCTCAACCACCAGGAAGTGAGCAATGGCTTCCAGAAGCTGGGGTTCCCGCAACCGGTGCCGGGCCAAGTGCTGAGCCAGAAGCACCATTACATGGGGAGTCAGATCTTCTGCCCTTGCCTCTGTGAAGAACAACCTGTCATACTGTGCCTTCAAGGAAGACTCCTGTGGGCTGAACTGCACTCCAGCCCAGGTGGTTTACCCCATGGCTCCATCTCATCCCTTGCCTCCCTTTTGCTTTTAACCCTCGGCACCTGCCAAGCTTCTGATCAGATGCTGACGAGGGTACCGCAGGAAATGGGGGCAGCTCAGGGCCATTTCCAACCTTTGCCCACCATGGGTGGCAGGCTGATGTGGGGTGGGTGGTTTTGGAGGGAGGCGGGACCTTCGCTCCTGCTCCAGGGCACACAGGAGTGGTCCATCTGATGGAAAGCCTGGGAGGGAGAGGGACAAAGACCATCCTGGTAAGAAAGCTGGGGTGTGCTATCTTGCAAAGTGGAATGAATTGAGTCCCCAACTTCCTCTTCGTTTCTTGAGTGGGAAGGTATACTTACTTCAGTGAAGAGATATGGCATCATGGAACATGATATATCAACAGTATGTGGGGAAAACCTTATACAAAAGTCATCTTGTGCCAAGTATAACAAACTGCTGTGGCTTCCTAGAGCACTGAATTAGAAGGAACCTAGTATCGTGCAGAAGTAGAATAATGCTGTTTGCCTTGGACATCCACCTTGGATAGGAGAGGAATCAGCAAGTGTGCTTGGGGAGGTGCCATTACTAGGTGGGAATATGAGAGTTATCAACATCTTGAGTCCTCTACTGTTCTTTCTTCCTCTACTTTTCCCTAAACACCCACACCTTCCGACACCCTCCTCACCAAGTAAGATTGCAAGGTGTAGACACACATGGATGGTGTGAACATCAAAGGAGGGGCAGTTGCGGATGATGAGCTGGCTCAAGTCCTGCAGTGTGGACTGCTCCACAGGAGAGGGCCTAGGTTGAGACACCAAGAGCTGTCCCAGGCGACGAAGTGCCACAGGGTAGTGATGAGCTCGCACCTTGGTGGGGTTCTGACTCAGCCATCGCAGCAGCTCCCCAGGGCTCCGTGCCTGTTCCAGAAGCCGCTGAAGGCCTTGCACAGGGCCTCCTCCAAAAGGCCGGTCCCCCAACTTGCTGGGCCCCAAACAACAGGGCTGTACTGGTGGGATGAGCAGCAGACCAGACAGCCGAGCAGGGGAAGTCTGGGCAGAGAGCAGGATTCGAAGCATGGAAGTGGGTGATGGAGACCCTGAGGGGTGGCCCAGAAAACCGGGTGAGGTTTCCTCCGAGGGGAAATATGCTACCTAGTCCTTACCTCATTCCCCATCCAAAAGGTCCTGGAGTAAAAACAAACCAGTTTGACTGCTCTGGTACTCTTCCCCACCCTGCTCCTCTTCCCCCATTCCTTGCGAAAGAAATGCTAATTTTTTTTAAAAAGTGTGCTCGGTGCAGCTCTATTCACATTTCACATACATATCTCCTTCGATGCTCCGTGCACGCTGATGAGGAGTCGCAGGGTTGGCATTACCTCATTTCACAGGTGGAGAAACAAGGCCCAGAGCGACGAAGAAGCCCGAGGTCATTCACAGGGTTAGTGGTTGCACCCAGCCTAGAGCCCCGGTGGTCTGGGCGACGCGCCCTGCCGACCACCTCCCCCTCACGCAGGAGGCGGCGGCAGGGTGGCGGGAGGCGAGCTAAGCAGCTGTAGGGCTGGGCCCCATGCTGGGCGCTCCCACTTACCAGCTGCGTGACCTTGGACTAGTGTCTTCGCCTCTCTGCCTAAGTCTCCTCACCAGTGAAATGAGAACACAGCGCAACCTCGCAGGGCGCGCGCTGAGCCCCAATACGCCGTCTGCCAAGGAGCGGAGTCGATGCTGTCCGCGGGAGAGGCCCCCACACCCTGTCCCGGCCCCGGGAGGCCAGCAGCCCGTGGCTACTGCCGCTAACACCAGCTCCCGCCACCCTCTCGCGGCCCGCCCCGCAGACGCCACCCTACATGACTCCCCGGGCCCCGCGTAGGTCACTCTCTCAGTTGGTCTCGGGGCCCGGGAGTCGGGCTCCCCCCGTGGCCTCCTCATCAGCGGGCCACCGAGTCCGCCATCTTCCCAGCAGCCCCGGGATCGCCCCCAGACGCCAATCACAGGACAGCGCCAGGCAGCGGAGACGTGGCTCCCGGCAGGCGATGCGAGCGGGGGTGGGGGGAGCATAGGCCCCGCCCCCTGCTTCCGGGAAGTGCGCGCGCTTCGTGGGGGCGGTGCCACAGAGCCTATGCGAAGCCCGCCAGAAAGAAGCCGAGAGCGAGCGACGGTCGGCTGTTCTGTCCGGGTGGTTTGTGCACACAAGACCTAGGGCAGACCCCGTTCTCCGACAACAAGGGCTCCCCACCCTCAAATCCCACACAGTCACACTGGGAGTGAAAACTTCACAGTTTCTTTAATCTGCACAAATTCCAGAAAACAACTCCGCCCCATTCAACTCCCCTTTACCAGTCTCCCAGTTCACCTGTCCCCAAGTCAGCCATGGCAGCTCTTTGGAACTAGACGTACCTAGGTTCTCTGGCAGCACACTAAGATGGGCCCAGTGGGGTGGCCCGGTTTTGCGCCGGGCCAAGGCAGCGACAGCAAGTGCCTGATCCAGAAGAACCCACTGTTTGGGAAGGCTGAGGGCCAGCAGCCCCAGGAGATGGCCCAGAGCTATGAAGATCACAGGCAGAAGCCTCCGCTAATCCCTGGAGTCCTTCGCAACGCAAGGCTGGGCTCCAGGGTAGTGGAAAAAGGCAGGCAGCGGGTGAGGTGGGCCTGGGCAGACAGCAGCTCCCTTTGCGCCTTGGGGAGTGAGGTCCAGAGGTGCTGGCTACACTGCCAAAAGCCCGTGGAGGCACTACGGGCGATACATGGCAAAGGCCAGAAGACTGAGGAGCAGGGTGAAGCCTGCCAGGCCCAGGGTGGCTGTCAGGGGAAAGAAGGGTCGGTACTGGATCTGGCAGTACCAGAGCAGGAGCAGCAGCAGAAGCAGCAGGGGCAACAGAAGGCTGCCGATTTCCAGCCCTGAGGGGCCGGGCTCTGACCCCGGTGGGCAGGGGGAATGTGGCGGACCGACTCTCGTGGACACATGGCAGTGGAGAACGCAGTTGGGGGGGAGGTGGAGGCTGCCCAGAGTCTGGGTGTCGTCTCCTAGAAGTTGGCCTTGGTAGATAAGTCGAACCTGCTGTTCCCGGCCGGGAAACTGGGTCCTGAGGAGAGAGGGACCTGGGTAAGAGAGTAGGCCTCAGGAAGTCCTGGTCCTTCACTCAGATGAGGGATGCCAACTTTCACCCCTGCCCTCTACAGACTACCCCGACATGTTCGAACAGGTTAACAGGTATAGGGCATAAGTGTGTAGAGGAGATAGTTTTCTCAGACAGAAAATAACCGAGAGCTTCAGATATCTCTAGTGGCCCCTTTATAGTCACCCACCCCATTTTTAGCATTTTGTAATTTACCCTCTTCCCAGCTTACCTTTTCAAGGAGCCAATGGTATCCTGAGGCCAGGCCCTGGCCACCTGCTCAGAGTCATTGAGAAATTTCAATCGAAGCACTAGGGGTTCCTGCAGGGAGTCGGGAGGTGGTGTTGTTGCTGTGACCCCTGTGTCAGGCTCTGGCTGTGCAGATGGACCTCTGTGTCTCAGGCTGGGGCTCTCTGCCTCTGGGGCCTCCTCTCTGATGCTGTCTGTGGTGGCCATGGCTTCACTGCGCTGTGCTGGTGCTGTGGTCCCTGATGGCTGTGGCAGGGGGTCTGTATTCTCGGTGGTATGTGTTGAGATCCAGGCAAGGGCCAGCACCAGAAGACAGGCAAGCACCGAAAAAAGGACAGTCACCTCATCACCTACCCCTTCAATCAAGGCCATGGCACCTGAGTGACCAGCGGTGCTACCGAGCTAGAGAGGCACAAAGAATTGGTAAGAGGCTGCTTCCTGACAAGGAGTCACCCACGTTTAACAAGTTCTTGAATCCACTACACTACAGCCCTCCCACGGTCCCAGATACTCTGTCTTCTTACCTACCCCAAGATACAGACTGGTCCAGCATCCTGTAGTCCCAAATTTGCCTTCTTGTTATATCCATTTCCATCACCAGATTTCAAGTCCTAACTTTGCTGTCTGAATTCTAAGACTTCATTTAGTTCCCCAACTGACCCAAACACTGTATCCAAGTAAGGGTCTTGCTTTTCTAAGCAACCCTCTCCTAAATTTAGCCTCCATCAAACTTTACCCAAAAGCTTACCTATACTTCTGTCCACTTCATCTCAAAGTTCACTCATTCACCTATTCCCAGCAAAGCTAATCTGATGTCCTGTCACTTCAGTTTCTCTACAGAAGACTCTATACCCTCCTCTTTACCATCTAACCAAACTCCACCCCCAACACAGACAGCTTCCCAAAGCTTCTCAGACAACGTCAAACGTCAAACTCCGCCCTGGGCCAATCTGGAGCTTAGCGAGCTCAGTTGCCTACCCAGCTCGGCCCCTTCTTGAGTCCACCTAAGCCCCACCCAGAAGCAGCCCGAGTCAGCGCCTTCTGGGGCAGCCTCGCCAAACCCAGAGGCCTCCAGACCCTAGATCCTTCCGGGAGAACCTAGACTTAGCTCTCCCCACCCCCACCGCTCCATCACTCCTCCCATCTGCCCGCCTCCCCCACCCCCACCCCACCCCGAGCTGCAGAGGGCACCAGAGATCTCGGGGCGGGGCATGCAAGCCCCAGCTGTGGCCTAGGGCGACCAGGTGGGCGCGGCCACGTGAGGCGACTCACCGCCCAGCTCCTCAAGCTCCATCTCGGCCCCTCAGGCACTTCCGGGCCGGAGGCACCAGGGTCGCAGACACCTGAGGTCCCTCTCCTTCCCCGCTGCCGCGGCCCGGGAGCATTGTGGGAATTGTAGTTCGGCCTGTTAAGTTCCCGCCCTCCGCCCTGGGAACTCAAGTCCTGGGCTGGACCGGCTGTTCCTAGTACCCGCAGGTTGTTGATGGCCCACGAGGACGACTCAGAGGGTTTGGTCAGCAATAAGGACCTCTGGCTCCTCCGCTAGCTGCTGGGGCATCTGTCACTCCCGACACCAACGTCAGCTTGCAGCACGTCAGAGCACCCTCGTTGGTGATGCAGTGATGAAGGCTCTAGGGAGCTCAGGTGGCCACTACCCGGACCTCTCCTTCTGTCACAGCAGACGTCAGAAAGCAGCTTGGTCTTCTAAATTGACTGAGTATCCAAGAAGGCGTAGGTTGTCTGCATCACTTGCTAGGGAGAGGACCTGACCCCAGCGGCCCCATTACCAGGCATTTCCTTTGCTCCTCCACCTTGCCCCTTCAGGATTATAAAGTTGGCATAGGCTTTGGAAGAGAGCACACATCCTAACTAAGGTCTCACGTAGGTTCATCAGCTACATATTCTCTGGTGGCTTATTAAATCTCTGAACAAGTATAATTCTTATAGGTCAATTGTAAGGAAGACATTTGATATTTTGTTAAATAAGTATGACAACTATGTAAAATACATGTCACTGTATTTCGCATGCCTAGCATTAGTGCATTTTCTTCACCCAGACCTAAACTGAGAAATTGACTGAGTATGGTGGCATATCCCTATTATCCCAGCACTAGAAGGCTGAGGTGGGAAGAATTAGAGTTTGAAACTACCTTTGGCCACCTACAGAGACCCTGTCTCACCCCCCAAAAAAAAGTTTTCTGCATAGAGGATGTCCAGATAGCTCTATGACAGCTAATCTCTGTAGAGTTTTCCTTACTCCTCTGACTGCAACAGCCACAGACATCTTGATTGTGAATTTTATAGATCAGGTTTTGCTGGGGAGTTTGCACATGTATGTGTGTATATATGTGTGATGCATGCATGTGAGTTGACAACACATACAAGATTTATTTGTCTCTGCTCCCCTATTACAAGCACTGAAAGCTATGATTGGCTTTTGACAAGGATTCTATGGAGTCAAAATGAGGTCCTCATGTTGCAGAGCAAGTCCCTAATTATTACAAAATATTTATATATTTTATGGATATTTGCCTGAATATTTATAAGTGCACCATGTGCATGCCTGGTGCCTCTGGAGGCCAGAAGGGGACATTGGATCATCTGATACTGGAGTTATAAGCAGAGACTAGGGTTATAGACTGTTTTTAGGGGCCATGTGGGTGCTGGGAACCTAACCAGGGCCCTCTGCTACAGCTGCAAGAATAGCAAGTTTAACAAATACAGCAAGTACTCTTATCTCCTGAACCATCTCTCCAGCCCCACACAAGCCAGTCCTTTTGTTTGTTTGTTTGTTTGTTTTGTTTTGTTTTTTGATATAGGGTTTCTTTGTGTAGGCTAGGCTTACTTTGTAGTCCAGGCTTGCCTCAAACTCACAGAGATTGCCTGCCTCTGCCTCATGAGTTCTGGGATTAAAGGTATGCACCTCTACCCTCTGGTCAGCGATGCTAGTATTGCTTTTAGAACTATAAAGCATAAGAACTAGATGTTTTGTAAGAAAAGCTACATTTTCTGTTTAATCACTTTATTTTTTTTCTTATTAAGACTGTAAAGTTTACAAGACATTTCTACAGGCATCCAGATAGAAACCCACATCATTCAGTAGTCTGAGAGGTCCTGGTGTTGATACCTTTGTACTTGGTCCTTTGGGAAGGAAGAGAAATGTAGGAAGGAGCAGAGATGTGTAGAAAGTCAAACAATAGGTAATTTCATTTTGAGAAAAAGCCCAGGTTGGCCTGAGAAGTGGAAATTAATAATAATAATAATAATAATAATGACATGTGGGCTGGAAAGATGGCTCAGCCATTAAGCACAGAGGCATGGCTGCTCTTTTAAAGGACCTAGGCCCATTTTTCAGTGCCCAGATGGCATCTCAAAACTATCTGTAACTCCAATTCTAGAGAATCCTGACCTTCACAGGCATCAATCAGGTGCTTGCCTGCAGATAGTGCACATCTATACAAACAGGTAATACCCATACATATAAGTGAAATAATATTTTAAAAGACAATGAATGTACAGCCAGGCATTGGTGGCACACGCCTTTCATCCCAGCACTCGGGAAGCAGAAGCAGGCAGATCTCTGTGAGTTTGAGGCCAGCCTGGTCAACAAAGCTACACAGACAA